GGCCCTTCTCTGTTGCACCTGCTGTTGGCTCGGGGTGGGGGGAGGCCAGGTCCACGGTGACAGGACAGAGGCTCCCGCGTCTGCCCGCGGGAGGGAGGGAGGGAGTGGCCGCCCGGCTCTGGGCCTGGGTCACCCTCGCGGGGCTCCTCCCTGGGGCGCAGGGACCCACGGGCTGGGGGGTGGGAGCAGACCGGGCACGCGGGCAGAGTTGATGCGGAAGGGGCCAGTGCCTTGCTCTGTCCTGAGACTGGGACCCTCCCCGGGAACCCTCCAGGGCACCGTGCTGCCTGTGGCCACCCGGAGCCCCCTTTTTGCACAGTGGCAGTGGGAAACAGAGACTGTTCACTTTGGGGTTGTTTATGAATTGACAGGTGAGAGGCCACACAGATGCCCAGCTAGGGGCATCGGGGCTTCTGCTGGCCCTTGTGCTCCGATTTTCCCCCTCGGTAACCAGCTTTTCTCCCAGGAGAACAAAGGGTCTGTGGAGATCATGAGGAAGGACCTGAATGACGCGCGGGACCTGCACGGCCAGGCCGAGTCAGCCGCCGCTGTGTGGAAGGCGAGTGGGGGGGGGCGTGGGCTTGTGTCACCTGGATGCAGCCAACAGACCAGGCAGCAAAACGGGGTACCCACCATCCTGGTTGACTGGAGTAGGAGCTTTTGGACGCCAGGGTATTTTTCTAGTGTATTTATGGGCTTTTCTCCAAATAGAATCTAACCAAAAGTGGGCAGGGATCTTCACATTTTATATTGGGCGACTTGCAATGCTAACTCTTTTATACATAGTGCTTTGTAGTACTTTTGGGGGGGGGGAAGCGACAGTACTGGGGTTTGAATTTGCCAAGCTAATTAGGCAAGTGCTCTACCACTTGAATCATTCCTACCGTGTACTTTTTTTTTTGACACTCTAAGGGAAACAAGACAAAACTTCCTTTTCTAGGGTCCTTGTCTGGGTTGAGAATGGTATAAAGTAGATTAACAGGAAAACAGTACTTGCTCATTAGCTCTAGTTTATGTGGCACACAAGTCCTTATGAGAAAATAGACCCAAAGATGCAGTTAAATTCCAATCATTGTATACTGAATTAGGCAAAGAGTTGTGTGTTGAGCTGACTGCTGGTGTCTCGTGCTATAATCCTAGCTACTCAGAAGGCTGAGATATGAAGGTCTGATTCAAAGCCAACCTAGGCAGAAAAGTCTGAGAGCCATCTCCAATTACCCAACCAAAAACCCAGCCTGGTGTAGCTCCAGCGGTAGAATGCTAGCTGAGAGCAAAACAGCTGAGTTAGAGGTCGGCCCTAAGCTCACACCCTGATGCTGGAAATACAAAAGCAAACATATTTGAAAAACAACTAAGTTATGTCGGGAGGCACAGAAGACAGTTATTTTGATAAGGTCTATGCAAAGTCAGCCTTATTTCTCTCCTCAGTGATAAGAACATCAACTCTTTTGGTACGAGCAGGAATACATTGGTTTGTGTTGCTGTAACAAAAACACACAAGACTGAATGCTGTATAAAGAAAGTGGGTTTCTTACCTTGGAGTTGTGGAGTCTGAAAGTCAGGGTCCAGTGTCTCCATCTGTCTAGCTTCTGGTAGCATATGTTGACTACACTGGGAGACCAGAGAGACCTAGGGACCAGCCTTACTCTTTCTCTGACAGTTTACCTTCTTGGGAATCAGCCAGGATCTTGTAGCATTCATTCTTCTAGTATAACCTAACTCTTTCTAGAGATAGTTTGGGCTCTTAAAGGCCACACAACCTTAGCCTTGTTGCGCTAGGGCTAAGCTCCAGCCCAGAAACCTTGAGGGACCATAAAAGAGGGCACCTTTCACATAGGGGTTTCATTCTTGCTTTAAGAAATAGCAAGGATCAAGCCAGCGCCGGTGGCTCACGCCTGTAATCCTAGCTACTCAGGAGGCTGAGATCTGAGGATCGCGGTTCAAAGCCAGCCCGGGCAGGAGAGACCGTGAGACTCCTATCTCCAATAAACCACTAGAAAACCGGAAGTGGCGCTGTAGCTCAAGTGGTAGAGCGCTCGCCTTGAGCTGAAGAGCTGAGGGACAGCGCCCAGGCCCAGAGTTCAAGCCCCACAACCGCCAAAAAAAAAAGAAATAGCAAGGATCAGATCTTCTTAAACCTACTATTTTTGTTTTAATGGCCTTTGTTTTAGAATACTCAGGCCATGTTTTGGGGCTATCAAACTCATAACTTTATTTTTCTTTTTTCCCTTTTAAATTTTATTGTAAAGATGCTGTACAGAGGGGTTACAGTTACATGAGTAAAGTGATGAGTACGTTTCTTGCTGAACATTGCCTATAACTCTTGAAAGCAGACAGGGTTCTCTTCCCACCTAACAGCAGTGGTAGCAGGGACTGTGGTTCAGGGTGTCCGCAAGGCCCAAGGATACGGTTTTTTGTTTCCTCCCCCGCAGGGACATGTGATGGACCGCAGGAAGAAGGCCCTGACTGATTATAAGAAGCTGCGGGCTTTCTTTGCTGAGGAGGAAGAGCACTTTCTGCAAGAGGCTGAGAAGGATGAGGGCATCCCGGACGATGAGCGTGCCGACCCTGCTGAGCGGTTCCGGTGCCTGCTTCAGGCTGTGTCAGAGCTGGAGAAGAAGCACCGAAACCTGGGCCTCAGCATGCTGCTGCAGGTACCGGGCCACGGGCAGGGTGCACTCCGCACCACCGTCCTCGGGGCCGGGAAGCAAACGTCCTGGGTAGGGAGTCATGTCGGACGAGGCCCTATAGCACAGCCTGCCTTCTGCCTGCGTGCCTCTGGGGCTGGATTTCGAAATGGGTGAGTGGTTGAGGCAGACATTGCAAACGGATCCTGAGGTGAGGAAGTTACAGAGTATTCCCGGTCTTCACCTGGGATGGGATACGTAACTACGTAACCCCGAGCGAGGGCACTCGCGGGGCCCCGCGCCGCCTGGCTTCTCAGGACAGGAGACACCAGACCCCTCCTGGGCTCAGCTCTCCCCACCCTTTGCCCAAGACGCGCATCAGCTTGTTAGGGCTCTCTGCGCGCCACACACACACCAGCACCTCCCTGTCAGCAAGGCGCCCCTCCACCCCCACACGCACCAGCCAGCTCAGCCGTCCACGGGAGTCACGTGTGGTGCGGTGCGGCCCTGAGCATGGAGCACAGGCCTGGGTTTGCGTCCGAGGTGCCTGGTCGCCTGTGTTCTGGGTTGGTTATGCCGAGGGCCGGAGCTAGCTCTGCCTCTCGCCCTCTGTCTCACTGTCTCTTTCCTGCTCTCTGTCTCCATCTCTTCTCACCGTCTTTATGTCCCTCTCACACCATGTCTGTGTGTCTGTCTCTGCCTCTGGTTCTGTGTGTCTGTTTCCCTTTCTCCCCTATTTCTGTATGTCTCTGTGTCTGATGTCTTCCTGTCTCTTCTCCCCTGCAGTGATGATGCTGAGCAGCAGGCGGGTCCCCAGTGGAGCACAGGAAGGACCGCCTTCTACAGCTGGCCTGCAGCAGCCCCGCCGCACCCCTCGGGCCTCTGCCCAGCATCGCCCTCCACACTGGACAGATGCTCATCTCCGTCAGCACCGACAGCGCGTAGGCCGGAGGAAGTGTCGCAGGTGCCCCTGCCTTTGGTCATCCACGTAGCTCAGTGTTGTTTTCATGTTCCCTGAAGTGTGAATGTATTCCAGGCTAGTCCTAGGACTCCCTCCCCAGTGTGTCCAGCCTTCCTCAAACCCGTGTACCGAGGTCCCGGCATTGTCATTGTTGAGGGCTTAGTAGTCACCGGTGTCAAAAGAACCAAACCGCATGCCTTTCCATGGTGCCCAGGCCAAGGCTTGCTTGTGGGACCTCCCTCCATGGGTAGGAAATCTGGAGCACACCAGCCAAGGTCACATTAGGCACTGGGAAAGGTGAAGTGCATGGGGCCCAGGATGCAGTTTTAACCTGGCCTTATGGGGAAGAGAAAATGCAACATTCTCCACCGTCGTGAGCGGCGTCCCGTCCTTTGGAGATTTGCTCTGCTGCGTGCTCAGAGCTCGTCCGCCGGCCGCCCGCCCGCCCCCTTTCTTCCTGGCTTGTGCCTGGGTAGTCTCTGCTCCTCCTTGCCTCGTCGGGGGAGGGGCTCTCTTCCCCAGCACCGGAGGGAGGGGTGCCCCCCCCAGCTCTCGCCACTCTGGTGCTTCACCTTGCTGTATCTTTGGCTTCTCCTCGCTTCATGTTCTCCAGTAAGTGAATTTCACAAAATCCGTGATGTAGCCGTAGTGTGGTTGCCTGCAGCATCGTTGTGTGTAGATTATCTAGTCCAAGGGATGAAAGTCAGCACAGGTGGTCAGAAACGAGTTCAGGGATCATAGATGCAGGCATGTTTGACTCACTGTTTCAGGGATAACACCTCAGTGGGTGACAGTTTTCTCCAGGACCCCCCTGGCCTTGAGTGAGGACTGAGTCTGACCTGCCCCCACCCTGTGGTCCGGGGTCTTAGTGCTGAATAAAGTGGGTTTGGCCAGCCCGTGTGCTTCATGCCCTTCCTTTGGTGTCTCTGTCCTCGTCTTTTACCCTGCCTCTGGCCCATTTCCAGCATTAATGTTAAAAAGTTCTCAGTGATGCCTTGTTAAAACATGGTAAAGAGTCTTTGCTTGGGACCACTGAGACAGGTGTGGTGGCCGCTTGCCCGTGGCCCGTGGTCAGCGGACAGTGTGGGCTTACCTCCAAACACAGCCTGAATAAGTGGGGATTTGCCAGAGATGAAGATGATTGAGACGTCAGAAGTCGGGTCTCTAGATGACCCACCAATAGAATCTCTACTGCAGGCAAGACGGGGTGGAAGGCATCCTTTGGGGACAGCGGAGGAGGAGGGACCCCGGCAGATGTATTAAGAGGATGAGAAGTTCCCTGTGCCTGGCAAGGGTGAGCTGCAGCCATCAGACCAGGAGCGGCGTGAACAGAGACGCAGCTGGAAGCGGAGCAGCTCTGGCTTCCCACTGAGTGTTTCTGACAAAATATGACCTCCGAAATCAGAAAGGCTTAGGTGGGTTGGAGGTCAAAGTCAGAAGTCTGTGTCAGTTCTAAGTCGGCTGTATGCCATTCTACAGGTGGCAGACCTAAGGGGTGTACGTCAGACTCTGAGAGGCTGTTTTCTTGGAACCTGTGATTGGCATGCCCTGTGGATCTCAATAGTGGCTAAGGAAAGCCCTCGTAAATACCTCTGTAGCTCCTGAGGTGTGTGTTGAGCACTCAGGAGCCCTGTCCCTGTGACTCCAGCCAGGTCCAGGAGGCCCTGTGTGTATCCCAGGCCTCTGCCTGCTGGCTGCTGGAGTGATCTCCACTTCAACCCAGGTAGTGAGCGGTAGCAGCCTCTACCGTGCTGTTTCCAGGGTTCAAATGTATAGCCTGATGAAGTGTGGCGAGGCCTTAGTATTTTCCTATGCTGGCAGCCAGCACTGACCTCCCCGTGGATCTGGCTCCAGTGGAAGAGCGCTGGCCCTTTCCCCTGCTCAGAGCCCTCCTGCCCCTCCCCTTCCTCACTGCAGAGCCGTCAGCCCTCCCCCGGGAACTGGCCAGCCTTGTCCTCACCCATTGCACCATGGGAAGAATTGACATTCTCTGCTAAATCATGTTTAGTGGCAGCCTCTAGTGTCTGCTGCGGCCTGCTTGCCGGTTCATGGGTGACCCTTCTCATTGCGTCCTCACACGGTAGGAGGGTTGAGGGGCCTCCCTGGGAGCCCTTTGGTAAAGAAGCTCATCTTACTTGTGAGTCCTTGTCCTTGTGATGGCATCATTTTCTTCCTAATACCATCACAGGGAAAGGAGGAAGAAGTCAGACATTCAATTAAAGCAGAAGCCAAAAGGCCGAGAATCCCAGAGAGAGATGCTCCAATTTATTAGATCTTTGAGAAACAAAAAACGACGTGCTCCTAGGAGTGAGTGGCCTTGGGAAGGTAGAGATAGAAAATGCCTTCTCCCAGCCTTACTGCCGAGTGCGTTACCCGGCAGGTTTTGCCAGATTTTAAAGTCAGTGACTCAAGAACCCAGCAATTCCATTCTGGTGTTTTCTGAAGAAATCCTCTTCAGTGCACAAGGTTACGGTACATCCTGTGTAGTTCCACTGTTGGAAGTGGTGGTATACAGGAGCAGACATGTACACCCTGTGCTGGAGAGGTGGAAGGTAAATGGGAGGAGACCATGGGGTAGGTCACCCCTCTGGGAAGGATAAACTCCTGACACAGCTGCATAGCGGGACTGCAGGGTGCCATGTAATGTAGACACAGGGCTACAGTTACACCTGCATACACAGCAGTCCATGTTTCAAAAAGCCACCTTCAAAGTGAATGGAATCCTATAGGCTGATTGCCAAATGGCACGAGAAATGAGGAAGAAGACTCAGAGCTGAGGGCATGTGTTGGCTCAGAACAAGAAGGAAACAGGCCTGCAGTAGAAGCGCCCTACCTCGGGCCTTCCTTTGCTTGTCTGTAGGAAGCCAAGTTCTAGGTCAGTTTAAGTCTGACCTAGTTTGGAGTTTCTGCAGTAGCACCTTACCAGATCTTGGGGAGTAGAGCTAGTGAAAAGAGCTTTCAGCGTTTTGGGAACAGTGAAATGGTGAGCATACTGGAACAGGTTTGTGCCCAGTCCAGTAGATTCACAATGAATGCAATGACCTCTTAGCATCCACAGGAACTGGTTTTAAGAGCAAACTCTGCCCTCAAGTACGTATTTAAAATGTCATTATTATTTGCATGTAACCTGTACACATCTTTAGTTTTGATCATCTCTAGAATACTAATATCTAATGCAATGTAACTGCTGTTTAAATCGCTTTATATTGTTTAGAGAACAATGACAAGAGAAAAGCCTGTATGTGTTCATTACAGATGAATTTTTCTCCAAATATTTTTGACTTATGCTTGGTTGAATCCACAGATGAGGAAGACCCTATAGACACAAAGTGAATGTGAATATGACTTTAGTTATTCTAACATGCAAAGGCCAGTAGGTCCTTGAAAAATCCAGTAGGGCTCTGTGGGAGTTCCCCTCAACCTGCAAGCTGCAGGTAAGCTTGTTCTCAGCTCCTTTGGGGACTTGGTTAGGCTCTGCTCTCTACACCGCATTCCCTTCTATTCTTTAAAGCAGGCAGCTATGCTTGAGACCCATGAAGTAGCTCTGAAGCCCCTGCCCTCTGCCTCCTCCTGAGGTGTGCGAATGGCAAAGCAGCGTCGTAGATAGGTCAGTCCAAAGACCAGCTCTGGCACCTGGCTAGAGCATTCTCAAAGGAAGGTTAGTGCCTGGAAGAGGCACTGCCTCTCGTGTGGAAGGTCATAAAACAACCAAGGAGCACCTGGAATGGCGTCCTCAAGGGTGCTTGAACAAAGGATGCTTGTTGCACCTTTGTTTTACATAGTAGTTAATGGGGATGCTAGGGCAGGTAATTCCTTTTCTTAAGAGATTGTGACTCTTGTAGAGATGGGTAATTGAAAAGACACAGATTCTTAGAAGCTCTGTTGTTTCTGTGTTTCTGAAAAGATAGTGTTTTGTCCTTTGAATGGTATCTCTGATAGTAGATGGATTACACTGATCATCCTAGCTTAGGATTCTGAGCCAGCCCAGGCCAAAAATATGCGAGATTCCTACTCTAAATAACCAGAAAAAGAAAGAGCAGGACCCTGGTTGCTCACGCCTGTAATCCTAGCCACTCAGGAGGGTGAGATATGAAACCAGTCTGCAGGTGAGTCTTTGAGACTTATCTCCAAGTAACCACCAAAAAAAGCCTGAAGTTGAGCTGTGGCTCAAGTGGTAGAGTGCTATCCTCGAGAAGCTCCGTCAGGGACAGCACCCAGGGCCTGAGTGTCCTGGTGGCCGCTTTGCCTCTGCCCCGCGGCCGTTGGAGGTGTACACCCCAGGGTGAATCCCCGGCCAGGCCTGGGCTTAGCTCCCGTGCATCCTATCTGGAGAGCTGTGTTGAAGGGGTTCAGCGTGGGCCTGGATGGCCCTCTTGGCGCTTGTGCTGCTCTCTGGCCACGGGCAGGGCAGGCGCTTGCCTTTGGTCCAGACCGGCCCAAGTGTTGGGGGAGGCCTGGTGGAGGGACTCAGCACAGAGATGGACTGTCTGGTTCATTCGGCATCTTACAAATTAGAAATGGTGGTCGCCGCAGGATGAACGCCGGTCCTGGACGCGTCTCCTGGTGATTTTGCCACCAGCAGCATTCCAGAGGTAGAGAGTCAGGGACAGAGCCCAGGCCTTGAGATCAGGCCCCAGGACCAGCACCAAAACCAAAACAATAATAATAAAACCAAAAAACAAACACTGGGCAACTTTTTTTTTTTTGGCCAGTCCTAGGGCTTGAACTCAGGGCCTGGGCACTGTCCCTGAGCTTCTTTGGCTCAAGGCTAGCACTCTACCACTTACCACTTGAGCCACAGGGCCACTCACTTCTGGCTTTTTCTGTGTATGTGGTATTGAGGAATCGAACCCAGGGCTTCATGCATGCTAGGTGAGCACTCTACCACTGAGCCACATTCCCAGCCCTCTTGGCAACTCTTGAAAATGTAATAACTTACTATTGGCGAGAGCTGACATGCAGTACATGAGGCCTCTGGAGCCTTTTCATTTTATAAACAGAAGTTTCTGTTCCCTTCACCCTGACCCCAACTTTCCACATATAATTAAAACAAAGGCTTGACAGAACTTGGTGAAGATACATACTCAATAAAAGGTTTGCATCCAGAACACATCAGAAATTTTTTTTTTTTTTTTGGTCCAGTCGTGGGGCCTGAATGCTGGGCCTGGGTGCTGTCCCTCAGCTCTTCAGCTCAAGGCTAGCGCTCTACCACTTGAGCCACAGTGCCACTTCCGGCTTTTTTCTTTTTACTTATGTGGTGCTGAGGAATCGAACCCAGGGCCTCGAGCATGCAAGGCA